GTAAAATAGACAAAAAGAAGGAGAGAATAAATGACGCTAAATTTAGTATGTGGTGACAATGCCAGAGGCCAAGATGGTGCAGCAGGAATGTTCATGCCTTTATATGGCTTAAACTTACTAGAATATTCGGAATATTTAAAAGGGATGATACTGTAAATGATACTTGATTTTGTAATTTTTTAAAATTATCTGTTATGCACGAAACAATAACGTGGCTCTGTTTACCCTCTTAAATGACTGTTGATTGAAATTCCTCTGGAAATATGTCACGTGTTTTAGTGACTGTAGATGCGAGTTTGGATTGGTGAGTCGATTTATTGGATCTTCACCAGGCAGAACTACAATTAATTGTAACACTTTCAGTCTTACTTAACTATAACACTTTGTGACTACGAACCATGATAACACTCTAAACGTTACTATAACTAACTACATGAAATAAAGACTTTGCTTCTGACTTCTGACTTCTGTGTCTAACTTAAACCTTCAGCCAGCCAAATATGCAACACTGTTCCCAACATTAATCATATTGCATCCCCCCCATTGCTGTGCTTTTGAACGATGCGTTGCCATGGATAACGGCTTTCAAAAGTTAAAGTTACACTGCTTACAGTCAATTATAGTACTATAATGGTTGCATAGCAATAGGTGCCTATTCTCGAATGTTTGGGAACGTGCTTATCTATTCTTTTCCTAGAAATGGCCAAATCTGTCACAATAATGAAATTAATTTTTTTATAAATTAGTAGTTTACCTTTTTACTTGTGTGCAGAGAAAATTTATATTTTTACTCTAAATAATACATGCAGTTTCATTTTGATATTTCAACTGGTGACATTTCCCCATCAAATTGTGTTTAAAAGAGTGATGCATGTACCATTAATCTAGTTAAAACATGCCAGGTTTCTGGGACCACCCAACCCAGATGTACTGTATATTTGCTCTTCGTGTAATTGGCTATGCTTAGAACTGTATCATTATTAAACATATGTTCCATTTTATTGTATATTACTAAACGAAAAAGTTGCTAAATACAGTCAGGAAAATGTATTGCCTCAGAATTCTTTAAATTCACAGGAAAAATGATTGTATGTATATAAATAGTACTGTAGAACTGAGACATCATTTTACTGTCTCCTAAACATTTGGATTGATGTATTTGAAAATTATTAAAATCTTATACATGTATTTGGTTTTTATAAACTTCTTTTGGATGCTTTATAGAGAAGTTTTACAAAACCTGGTTTTATGTTCTTTCAGAACTGCAATGTAGTTTTGTGCCTTAAATGTTTCATCTGTAGGCATGTTTGTTGTTAATTACTGTACCCTGCAATTTATGCAGAACACCTCATTTTCAGTATAAGATGGTGTCTCGATATATTTATCATTTATTTATCCAGAAACTTACTTCAGTAAGTTATATGAAACTCAACATTTTTTGCATTTATGGGTAAATTGTGGTACCATATTATATTTTAGTATATTATTGGTGTATCTTCTGTATTTTACAGATAAAAATAAAACTGTATGAATGGAGATTAAAATGACAGTCCTTTTTAATAAGGTAAAGTTTTATGTTACCTGATCATTGGTTAGAAGCCATATAGTGTCATGCTGTGCTGAAGTAGATTATTCCTATATGGGATTTGAGATTTTTATAGTGCCGGTTGTTAATTCAATCTTATGGAATGTGATGTCTTGTAGTTTGGTAGATGATTACCAGTGCTTCTGAGGAATATGCTATTACTGTCTTACTGGCTGGACTGAGGAAGTGTGTTCCCCTGAAATGTTGTAACCATCGACCAGCTACAAAATGTCTAGACCCCCGAAGACCACAGTAATAATGTTCTCCATTGCGAGAACCTCAACTCTTATACATGGGTTCTGTCTATTTGCTCTATAAAATGTTAAAATAAAGTAGTGTCTATTTAATTTTACAGGAATTCCGGAACAATGTAAAACAGTACATCTGTATTTCGGTATAAATGGCTGCCAGTTTGTTGAGGGTTTTCAGATGATAATTTAGGACAGTTCCTACTGATTTGGAATGATTATTGACGGTGTGTGAACACTGTGTAGTGTCCAGATATAATTTATCTTGCGGGAACCATACATTTTTTCTTGTTCTTTGAAGAGTGCTCTCATATTCTATGACTGAATACATTATGGTATAGGATGGTTACTTTCTTTTTGATGATGATTCTGTATGGTTTATTATGCTGGACTGACTTGCATGTGATTTTTTTACATATTTGTTACATGAGAATTACTATCCAGTGCATGATGAGTTTGCATGTCCTCTAGTTCCATGCATATCTTGCAGGATATTTTCACCTAGGACAGTTGGAGGCAACATCAGTAATGAATAATATTGTGTCTGCAATTCTTGATCACCATTCCTGAATTTGCGGGTCCCTGAAACAATTCTTGCATTAGTGAATACAAAGAATTAATTACTGGGGTTTGAAGCCCCTGAACTTAGTGAAGAGACTGAAATGTAACTAAATATGAAAATGAAAATTAAATGCCTCATTGTACCACAATAAATGATCATGCATAACTAAGTAGCTAATTAACTATTTGCATGATACTCAGTCCTTATTGAGAAGACAGCAGTTGCCCAGCTACTCAAGCAGTTCCCAGCATCTCCTGTCTTCACAGAAGCCCACCATTGGTCTCTACCCAGAGGGAAATGAAGCCAGTCCACCCATCCTTCTCCTTCCAAGTCTGTTTCTATAAGATCCATTTTAATATTATTCTCCCTTCTATAGCTAGGCCTTCCTAGTTATCTCTCTCCTTCAGGTTTTCCTACCAAAACTTTGAGAGGGGGGCATCTGCATGTGCCACGCCTTCAGGAAATACACTTGGAAGGCTGAGGACTAACCAAGAACCCACAGGGGACTTCCAGGATGACAGCAGCCATAAAACCTTGGTTTCAAGGTAAGGAAGAAAGGAGTCTGATGCAAGTTGCCAAGTTGTGTGTATATGTGAGACCAGTGCAGAGAGAAGCAGACATGGAGGAGTACCTGTTGTGAGTAAAGAAGTTAGTTCAGTGCTGGCAGCAACTTGAAGCAAGAAAAGGACAGTTTGATGGCAATATGACGAAACAACAGTGTCAAGACAAACTGCCATTAATATCATAAGAGGCTACTGAAGAGGAAACAATAACTGTTCCACATAACTGTAAACATTAAAAAATAATTTTTCTGCCTTAATTACTGAATGAGTTTTCTGTGTTTTCAGGGTTCTTTGTAATATTGTAATTTATCTTTGTTAATGGACTTCATTTACCTGTGGAATATTCACCCATTTCCATTTTTACAGTATTACAAACCGTTATCATTTGTGCTTTTATAATGTGTATGTTTGGTTTCTTTAATAACTTGAGTTACAGTATTGCAGTATTTTCTCTAGGCAATGTTCATTACTTAGTTGTTAGTAGTTTGGCTGTTGAAGCACAGATCTAGATTTTTTTTTGCTAAATTTTGGATACTTTTAGATATCCTTTGGTAGAGAAACTTGCTGAGACATTCATGAGATGATGTTTGGAAATGTCATGAACTCTGAAGCAATGTCATGACTTGCATATTAATTCACAATTTTAATTAGTTTGATATGTAATGAGCTCTCTCAGTAACCCATTTCAGTGGACAGAAGATAACAGTCTACAAATAAGCAAGAAAAACTGAAATGATATCTGGGAATGGTGGGATTTGTAGAAACAATCATTTTTGGTGAGGAAATGTTAGGAGTCATGATGTGCTATAAATATTGAGGCATGAACCCACAGACTACTGGGAAAATCCATGCGCATTAGGAGAAAGAAAAACGTCACAGTATGGTATGTTGTGGCCATTCAGGACCCAGGCAAGTTATTGGTGTGATCAGCAATAAGAGGTAGAAATTTAAAAAATAGTGCCAGTTTTAAAGTGTGGCCTTGCAATCCCATGGGAGTATCTTGGAGGAAATAATGAAAATGTTAGAAAATGTAGATGTGAAGATTCACACCTTTGTGACTAATATATATTCTTGCAAAAAAAGTATTTTGATAATCTTCCAATGTAAGTTATTACTGCCACAGTGTGTTGTAAAGAACAATTTAATAATATAATGATATAAGAACAAGAGAAAGATATGGTGAGAGTATTTTACAGTGGGATCTATGTTGAACAGAAAACTGGACAGACCCAGCGTATTAAAGGATCAGTGGCACATTGTATGGTGCAGGGTTTGCATCATAAAAGGGATCAAAGGACCATCATCTTCCAAACAGAAACTCCCGCTGTGAGCTCTGTAATCCGTAGTGCTGAAGGCATTTGTGTTGCAGGTCATCATGAGACTATGTAGTTAATCTGCATCATAGACTGCAAGTGAAGTACTAAATCATTGACCATATCAAAGGTAAGAAGATAAAGTTATCTCTGGGCTTAATTTACTAAGCACCAAGCTGTAAAGAAGTATGAGGGAGTGGAGGCACAGCTCCACCATTTTTAGCTCCAGCACTAGCTGACAGTCAGCTTCCCCCTCAGTGGCTTTACTCCTGGGCTCCCAGGTAAACAGTCTCCAGGGCTCCAGGGTATCCAGTACCCATTGTATGGGAGGCTGGATGGGACCCCAAAGTCTCTCTGAACATTACTGAGAAGAGAAAAATCTCTTGTCCCTCCCGGGAATCGAGGCCCGCCTCCTTGGTCATCCAGCCCGTAGCCTAGTCTCTATACCTATACCCTCACTTTCAATCGATACCAATTAAGCTATCCTGGTTCCTCATTGACCATAGATGCGTGGCAAACCATTGCTCATTGTGCTGAATTAATAAATTACATGTAACGAGTGGCCATAAAGGCGGTTCCATATTGTTCATTCTAATTCAGTACGAAAAAGAAAATTGAACTAATATAGAATGTCGCGTTAGTTTTACTAATGGTATGCAGGTAGTTCATTACGTACATGAAAAACGGAAGGCAGTTTAAAATTGGTCACTTCAACTAGTTTCGGAACTAGGCAGAAGACGGCGCTTCTTAATAGCAAAAAATGAGGTTAAGTTGGATGCATGTAATGTGGGAAAATATTCACAAAATTATCGCATAAGTATTAAATATGTCGCAGTTTGAAACTGTGTATGTATCTACTGCATGTAATCGTACACCGCATAGTGTCGACTGGGGTAGGAATAAGTTGGTTTGTTACGGTGCATCTAATTCTGTTGCAATATACGATCCTAAGGTTTGTTAAAAATCCGATTTCAGTCGGTAATTACAATTTTAATAGCTGTAAATGGATTACTTCATACTTAGGTTAGAATTATATCTCACAGCGTGTTGTTTCTTATGAAGGTTAAGCAGTAGAGTTTGGCCTTATGCTTTGCTGAGATAAAAAAAGTGTCTTGCAAGAAGGTACCCTGTTGCTTTGTCTTTTGTGTTACAGTGTGAATAATCGCATTATGATGTTGTATCTAAGGTTTTACGCTCGTAAATAGAAGAAAGAAGATCTCAGAATTTAAAGTGTTATAAAGAAAAACTGTATTCAAGTGTGAAGGGCCAAGTACATTTAATTTAATCGAAATTTTTCGTTTTGTAGTATGCTGATGCTGGAAAGGTGGTGTCAGTGCTATGTCAACACAAAAATCGAGTGAATTCAGTTCGATGGATAAGACATAAAAATGGATTACCAGAAACAGAGTTTGTGTCTGCATCCTCTGACTGTACTGCTATTGTTTGGACCAGAATAAATGACTATAGTTTCTTTCCAACATCCATCTTGAAGGGTCATGAGGGTACAGTTACTGTTGCTGATGGTATTTATGTGGCAGATAGAAATGTTGACTCAGCTAAACAGACTGCAATAATTGCTACTGCATCAGTAGATTCCTCAGTAAAAGTATGGATGCGCCATGAAAATGAAGGTATTGCATGCTGTTTATTTAATATTGCTAATTGAACTTAATGAGAGCATGGATCTATAAATACTTCAATCATTTATAAATATGTGTATTTAAGTAGTGGAGAGGAAGCTTTCAATCATAATTTTAGAACCTGCCATTTCTATTTGTAATATCTACCCGAGTTATTGTCTAAAGCTGAGCATTGATATTACCCTTCTCTGTTATGGCAGCATTCTTGCTATGTGCTTGTTTTGTCACTGAGTTAACATGTTTTGAATGAAGTACAGACACAAACTACAACCAAGTATGGGATCAGTGCTGGAAGTGAATTGTATGATGATACTAATTGCTTGGTTATAGATCATGGCTACTGATGTTAACATATATTACCAAAATATATAAGGAATATACAAGATGGTTAAAAAATGACTGGGACCGATTTATGTGGAAACAAGCTGCAGTGCGCAGCAGCTGTTTGACCTTGAGAGAGTGAAGCCCCAATCTTCACCCTCCCTCCTGTTCAGGTTAGAACCTGTTCAGTCCTGTCTGGGATTTGCTAGAGTGATGAGCGAACGGAAGGTACCGCGGAGCGTGGAACAACGCATGGTGATCAAATTCCTCGGGGGAAAACGTCCCATCTGCTGAAATTTACCACAGACTCCAACAACAGTATGGGGAAGAGTGTCTCTCATGGACCCGTGTGTTTGAGTGGTGTAAGTGCTTCAGAGAGGGCAGAGTATGCGTGGAGAATGAACCGCATGATCATCTGCTGCGAACATCCATCACTGAGCCAAACATTGATCGTGCAGATGTACTTATTCGTGAGAATAGGCACATCACTATCAAGGAACTTGGAGCAATGCTGTCCATCAGTGTTGGTAGTGTAGAAGACATCATGAAATACCACCTGCACTATTGCAAGGTGAATGCACAGCGGGTACCATGCACTTTGACGGATGTGAACAAAATGGTGCGCATACAAGCTGCCAGTCGTCTCCTACAGCAGTTTGAAGACGAAGGTGATGCATTTTTGAAGTCTATAGTGACCACTGATGAAACGTGGGTGCACTACTTCATTCCCGAGTCCCAGCAGTCATCAGGCGAGTGGCGGCATACCAATTCTCCCAAACCCAAGAGAGCGCGGAGGAGCCGTTCAGCAGGAAAAGTGATGGCAATGTTCTTCTGGGACTGGCAGGGGTTTATGCATGTAGACTTTCTGACAGATGCCAGAACAGTCAATGCAGCTTATTACTCAGACCTCCTGGCAACAGATGTGAAGGAAAAGATCCGATCCAAGTGGAAGACAGGTGGAAAGTGGGTAGCCTTCCTTCAAGACAATGCACGCCCCCATACGGCCAAAACAACAATGGAAAACCTCCGGAAATTGAAATGGAACCTTCTAACACATCCGACGTACAGTCCCGATTTGGCCCCAAGTGATTTCTACCTGTTCGGAAGGCTCAAATCAGACTTACAAAGCATGCAGTTTGTGGACGACGCCGTCATCCAGACTGTTCAGGAGTGGATATGCCACCAACCACAAGCCTTTTTTGAAAAGGGCATCAGGATGCTTCCAGAACGTTGGAAAAAATGTGTTTACTCCGGAGGGGAGTACGTTGAAGACTGACATGTGCAAGTAAGTGTTTGGAAATTATGGTTTTTTAAAAAAAAGTCAGACCCGGTCATATTTGAACCACCTTGTATTAACAACGTAGCCTACATATCCTTGGAGTTCCTTCGTTTGTTCTTCACAACAGTAGCTCTCTGTTGTCAGTATTTAAGACTCTTTCTCTTCTTGAAGTTTTGTTGTGCTAAGAGACTGTCACAGACATAGCACTGGGCCTGATGCCCTCCTGGGTCTCATCTGCTTTCCACATTTTGTAAGTCTTGTTTATGTGTTGCACAAACTTTTCAAATTATCCATTGTCACACTAGCAAAACCTTTTTTTATTAGCCTTTCCATTTCATATATTTTACAACCACTGTTATTCATACCTACCTGAGCCCACATGAGTTCAGTTTGGTGCAAGTCACAGCAGTGTGGAGGAAGGCAAAGAGTGTCCATTTTCCTTTGTAGGCACCTTATTCCTGTACACAATATGTTCCTAATATTTGCTATTTATTATGTCACTTATGTCCATCATAGCATGTTTTGTTTTTTATGGTATATCATACATCTTGTGCCACTCTTGTATTCTCTCCTTTTTCCAGAATTTTCTGGGCAACATTCCTTTTCTGTGCTTTGGTCTGAAGCACTGTTGACAGCAAATACAGATTGTGGAGACAAGTTGGGAAGCAACTTTTCTGCAAAATACATTTTGTAATAGTTGCCATTCATTTTGTCATGTACCACATCCACGCCTTCATGTCGTAGTGCTTAATTAATTAAGTACAGGGACAACTTTACCTTTGCCTTATCTGAAACAATAGTTCTTTTGCAGACAACAAATTATGTTTGGCGCAAATCTGTTTTTTGTTGCTGGCATGTGCTCTTGTGAAATGTGGACTCTAGTGATTGTGGGTGATTAACCCAGTTCAATTCAATTCAATTCATTTATTTCATCCATAGCTGTAGAAATTACAATTGGACATGTCAGATAACAACAACATTACATCAAGCATAACATTCAAAGTACATGAATATAGAATAATAAATAATAAATACCTAAGACTAGAGAAAATATTTAAAACATATATACAGATTGTTTACAACATACAAACAGACTATTTAAAACATATTCCTGTACATATAAATAATTTATCTAAAACAGATTTATTTGTCAGCAAGCAGTCCATATCAACAGTTGTTAAAAAATTCCTGAAGAGAATAAAAGACGTTACACAACAAATAATTTTTTAGCTTCTTTTTAAAAACATTAAAATTATTTACACTTTTTAGTTCAGTCGGTAGGCCATTAAATATTTTGGTTCCCATACCAATCACCCCTCTTTTGCAGCGCTCAGTATTGCAAAATTGAACATACAGATTGTGTTTATGAATAGTATTATAGCCATGTACGTCAGAATACTGGGTAGTATATATCCTATTTTTTATTATAAAACATAAAATCTCAAATATATATAAGGAAGTAACTGTTAGAATCTTAAATTCTCGAAACAAATTTCTACAGGAGACTCTATTTCTTACACCTTTAACCACCCTTAAACATTTTTTCTGTAGTTTGAATAGAGTTTCAGAGTCCTTTTTCACCCCACCCCAAAAAATAATACC